TATTAAAAGTTTTATGGGCTGGAGTTGTGGCTCAGTGATAGAATACTTGCCTTGCATGTGTGAAACACTGGTTTCAATTCTCAGCACTGCATATAAATCAATGAATAAAATAAAGGTTCATCAACAATTTTAAAAAGTTTTTAAAAAATTATTCACCTCTTTATGTGCATAGATAACTTTAATTTTAATTTTTAAAAGAAAATGATAAAATATCCTGAATCAAATAAAGATATTCAGATTTGGGCTTGGGTTGAAGAAATTATTCCTAAAGCTTTCTAACCACTGCAGCCAGCTTGTATCTCAACACTTAAGAGGAGTTTTGAGTATTTAGAGACTTGCTTGGAATTAAATTATTGATAAGCACCTTCGAAGGTAGAGTGCTTACCTCGCACATGTGAAGCACTGGGTTCGAGCCTCAGCACCACATAAAAATAAATAAATAAAGATATGTGTCCATGTATAATTTAAAAATATATATTTTTAAAAAGGGTACTCAGATTTTATTTATTTAGTGTTAAAGATTAAACCTAGGATCTCATTCATAAAATCTTCAGATTTCACTTTGTTCTACAGATTACACTTTGTTCCAATGAAATTTGGCCAGATTAAATAAATTTATTAAGCTTCAGGGAAAAAGAAAATTTTTCAAGCATCCAGAGGCAAAAGCTTATATGGAAATTAGGAAAAATTAGGTTTACACAGGATTCAGTACCTGACAAATAATATCTACACAGTTCTTGGGGAAAGAGAGTGAAACTCGGGAATAGAATAAACAAATAAAGATATCATTCAAATATAAAAGCAGCAAGAAGACATACTCAAACATAAAAGAACTCAAAAGATGTATCACCTATGAGCCCTTCTTAAAGAAAAACTTATTGATAGTAAAAGCAACCAAGAATTGAATAAAAATACATTTAATTCAGAGGAGCTATGGGCATCAGCATTTAATCCATTTATATACAGAACTGATACAACTATAGGAATTGTGGCTATAGAATATAATTCAGATATCATAAACCTAAACATCATAAAAATAAAACTGCCAAAAATCAGTCAGTTAGAGTAAAGAAAAAAGAAACATGTCTATGTGATAATAGCTTCTTTTTTATAATAAGGAAGTTAAAAAAAATGAGAAAACTTTAAATAAAACATAATAACTCTAACTTTTGGGGAGTTTTTTGTTGGTTTGATTTTGGTGCCAGGGATTGAACCCAGGGGCAATTAACCACTGGGCAACATCTGTAGTCCTTTTTTGAGACAGAGTCTCCCTAAGTTGCTTAGGGCCTTGCTAAGTTGCCAAGGCTGGTTTTGAACTTCTGATTCTCCTATCTCAGCCTCCCATGTCACTAGGGCTACAGGTGTGTGCCACTGTGCCTCACTGTTCTTTCATTTTGACTTCTTTTTTCTTCTGTTAAGTACAAGTAAAATATAACATTTTTTAAAAAATTCTTTTCAAAAATATTTATTTTTTTAGTTGTAGTTGGACACAATACCTTTATTTTATTTATTTATATGTGGTACTGAGGATCCAACCCAGGGCCTCGCACATGCTAGGTGAGCAGTCTACGACTGAGCCACAACCCCAGCCCCAGCACTTTTCATTTTATTTTTTTATTTGTTATTTTTAGTTATACATAACAGTAGAATGTATTTTGACATATCATATATACATGGGGTATAAATTCCCATTTTTGTGGTTGTCATGATGTGGAGTTAAGACACAGGTCGTGCATTCATATATGAACATAGGAAAGTCATGTCTGAGTCATTCTGCAGTCTTTCCCATTCCCATCCTTGCTCCCTTCCCCCCACTCCACCCTATCCAAACCTTTCTCTCCCCACCTCTGCATCTGCGTGTCAGAGAGAACATTCAGCCTTTGGTTTGGGGGGATTGGCTTATTTCACTTAGCATGATAGTCTCCAGTTTTATCTATTTGCTGGCAAAAGTCATAAAGCCATTCTTTTTATGGTTGAGTAAAATTCCATTATGTTTATATACCACATTTTCTTTATGCATTCATGTGTTGAAGGACACCTGGTTCCATAATTTAGCTATTGGGAATTGAGCTGCTGTAAACATCGATGTGGCTGTATTACAATAGTATGTTGATTTTAAGTCTTTTGGGTATATGCCAAGGAGTGGAATAACTGGGTCAAATGGTGGTTCCATTCTAGGTTTTCTGAGGAATCTCCATACTGCTTTCTAGACTGGTTGCACCAATTTGCACCAGCAATGTATGAGTGTACCTGTTTCCCCACATCCTTGCCAACATTTACTTTTATTTATATTCTTGATAATTGCTCTTCTGACTGGGGTGAGATGAAATCTCACTGTAGTTTTAATTTGCAGTTCTCTAATTGCTAGTGATATTGAACGTTTTTTCATATATTTATTGATTGATCAAGTACTTTTTATTTTAAAAATAGACTCAGTAGTATAATCCTGTTTTTATACTGGTATGTCTATTTGTGTATATATACATAGAGAAGTGTCTTTAATGATTGTTACTCCCGAGAAATAAGATTTAGGATGACTTTATTTTAACTGTTAGTCATTTTCTAAAGTAGGCTTTGAGTTCTGTAAGATTAACTGCATCTTTTTTCATAAAACAAATGGTGTTTTAAAAAACTAGAATTGTTAATTCTGAGGTAGTAAGAATTAATTTTGGAAAGTATAAGTATGTATGATTATTTTTTCTATATGTTTTTCTGTATTTTAAAAATTTTCCCTAATTTTAAAAGTCTCAAAAACAAGCGAAAACCTGAAGAATATAGTCAAGTGGGTTAACACATTGTTCTTTCTTTTGGAAAGTGGCCTTTCCTAGTTTAGTAGCCATGGCACAAATGCCTACTGGAGAGGAGTCCAGCTGGGGAGGGTCTTTGCTCTTGCTGAATGAAGCCAGGCTGCTCAGAAAGCATTCTGCAGTGGATATGGGTAATGACTTTCATTGAATTATTCATTTCTTCCTTACTCAATAGCAGAAGCAAAACTAACTGAATTCTGGACCTTTCATTCCATTAAATTTCTATAGGTGTTTTAAAGATACATTTATAAATGTCTTTGAATCATCTCCCCTCAAGAGATAGAGCTGGAATTAGTAATTTGTTAAGACTATGGCAGAAGTAATGGTATGTTACTTCCAAAATCAGGTTATAAAAAGACTGCAATTTCTGTCTTTGGTGCCCGCTGACACTCTCACCCACTCTTTTCTCTGAGAAAGTCATAACTTTCTCATAACTGGGTCATAACTCAGCTTTAGGGAGGGGAAAGCTAGCTGCCATTGACATAAGGTTCTAGTCAGACTGTAGAGACAGCCGTGAGTGGAGGCTGGCAACCCCATAAATGAAGTGGATATTCTCAGACCTGTCAGCAGCCATGATGAAAACAGAGTCTCTTCCTATGAAATCTCAAGATGACTGTTGCTCCAAACAACAGCTTGAATGCAGCTTAATGAGAGGTCCTGAGTCAGAATCACCCAACTAAACCACTCCCAGATTCCTGAAGCACCTAAATTGTGAGATATTGTTTGTTGTTTTAAGCCTCCTAGTTTGAGGTAACATGTTATTTAGTAATAGATGACTAATAAGATTCTAAATCTGTAGACTTTGAATAAAAATTTCTTGGAAACACTGAAGCTGAACCACATCTTCGGGGGAAAAAGGTCCGACACCATTGTTTTCAGCCTCAGTTGCTTCCCATACAGTTCAGAAGTAGGAAGTCATGTGGCTATATTTGGGATGTATCCTGCCTCAGCACAATGCTTTTATTGAGATCTTGGACAAATTACCAGCTCCATTCAAAATATTAAAGCTATAGATAGTCATCTTTTGGTCTTATTAAACTTCAAGGACTTTTATTGTTTCAATATTGGCAACAAATAGTCCCATAATTCTTCTTCCCTGTATTCCTAGAGAAAGGCCTGGATTAAAATTAATTCTTCAGAAAAAGCTACCTCTTATCAACCTGTCCACTGCTATATTGCTATGTGATAGAGAGATGCTGCCAAGATCCCCCTTCAAAGAAGGACTAGCTGCTCAGCTTCTAGCTGTCACCAACTTCCGGATTTATCTCACCTGCAGAAAGGCACGTTGTCTGAAGTCTTGCTCTGCCTTACTAAATCCACTTTGAGAGGCAACACTTGCTTCAGAATTACCTGCCAGGGTGGCTGAAGCTTTGTGGAACCTGCATCTGTTTCAGTCTTTTTCTTGCCACAATTCTACTTTCTCTCCTTCTTTTCACAGATGTTAATCCCTACTAAACATGTGTAATTCTGGAGAATCCAAACTTCAACACATAATGACATGGTTTTCCCTGTGGTTTGCCACTGCCTTGTGAAGCAAGTTTTCTCACTCTTGAAGTGATCATTCATAGTTTAATTCTAGAATTAAACTGTTCTGGGTAGTTAAGTTGTTTTCTTCCCATGAAAGCAAATTTGTTGCATTGGTCTTTGCATGTATGAAAACTGTGATGAATACTATCTATAATGTTGATGTCTCTTATAACTCCTAACTGATCATAGTATAAAAAGTGTACCATCCATTCAATCAGAACCTTTCCAGCCTCTCACCACTATAAGCATTGATTTCTTCTTCTCCTTTCTCATGAGACCAATACTTGTCAACCTGGGGAGCATTTTAAAAAATATTGATGACTGGATCCTACCCATAGAGATTTTCATTTAATTCGGTTGGCACAGGATCAGCATTTTATTTCAGAAAAACTCAATGCAGGTGTATGAGAGCTGGCTGCCAAAATCAGAAGAAACCTAAGCCTGAAGAAAAATGCAGAAAGATCCAGGATTGCACAAAGCATAATTTATTAGGGACTTACAGACAGAAACATGTCTTGGGTGGTAGCAGGACTGAAGGATACCTTCATCCCAAGGCAGTAGAAGTTTATGCACTAAACTAAATAAAGGTGAGCTGCAGCCAACCAGACTGGCCTTTTCCCAAAACTGCTAACATGTCCAAAATGAGTTAAGAAACAAACAGCCTGAGTGCTCACTTCAGCAGCACATGTATGCTAAAATTGGAACAATACAGAGATTAGCATGGCATCTTCACAAGGATGACATGCAAATTTGTGAAGCATTTCATTTTGTTTTGGTTTTTGTTGTTGTTGTTTTAAAGCTAGACATGGTGGCACAGGCTTGTAATCCCAGCACCCTGAGACTGAGGCAGGAGGATAGCAAATTCGAGGCTGGCCTCAGCAATTTATCAAGGCCCTAAGCAACTTAGTGAGACCCTGCCTCAAAATAAAAAATAAACAAGTCTGGGGATGTAGCTCAGTGGAAAAATAACCCTGAGTTCAATCCTACATACACCCCCCTCCAAAAAAAAAAAAAAAAGAAAGAAAGAGGGTGGTTGTGGGTATTATACACAAATTCAGATAATTATGTTAACAACTTTGTTTTATAGGGATTGAGATACGTGCCAGGGTTACCTGGCAGGCAGAATGGTGGCTATGACTAAAATAGCTGTAAAATAGCTGTTAAGCTGGATCCTTACATGTTTTTTAAAAAACTCCTTTTTAAAAAAAGACGATTCTAATGTACCAAGCTAGAAAACTGCTATACTATTCATTTTAGGATTTATGGCCCAGCAGTGTCCTGATACTTGTCTATCAGAATCTGAGGGACTTTTTAGCTATCCAGGAATGATAGACATAGTTGTGAAATTGGATCCAGCACCTGAAACAACTACTTGGATCTTTGTTTCTTATTCTCTTTGGGCCGCAGGCCATGTCTGTAGTGGAATGTGAGGCTCCAGCTAGTCCAGGTAACATCTTATCTTCCCAGGACCAACTTAGTCTAGTATATTCAAGTAGCAGTCTACTAGATTTGTGGTGTTATAGTTAGGCCTCATAGTATGGTTTCCATTTTGAGCATTTCAGGCTGTGTGGTTCTGGAGAATTAAATGACATATTAAAACATACTCAGTTGACTATTCTATCTCCCTTTTATAAGGACCCTTGTGATTACATTGGTCCCACAGGAAAATCTAGGGCAATCACCTCATCTCAGTATACTTAATCACATTGACAAAGTTCCTTTTGTCATGTAAGGTAACATATTTACAGTTTCCAGAGGTTAGGATATGGACATCTTTGAGGGATCATTATCCTAACTACCATAGTCCTCATATCTCTTATTCTTTTTAACATGATTTTCAATAGCTTCATAATAGTCTGTTATATGAATACATATGTATATATTTATTCATATGATGATGTATTATATGTATATGTGTGTATACATATATTTACAGACATAAATATGCATGTGTGCATGCACACATACACAGTTGTTTACTTAACCATATCAGTATTATTGAACATTTGGATTTTTTTTTCTTTTTTTGGCAATGCTGATAATACATTTCTTTTTGTTGTTGAATGTTATCCTGTTTTATGGATAAATCACATTTGAGTTACCCAGTGAGTTATAGTTGGCATTTATTTTAAATCATCTTTATTCTACTGGTAAGTCATTTAGGATTTCAATATCCAGAATTTTGAAGGATTCCCCAAAAGAGCTTAAAGCATACTTGTTTCCTGAGACAACTTCTATGCATACTAGAGAGATAGGACCAGTTCTATCATCAAGAAAAGTAGACACATACCATTAGTTGGATCAAATTAGAAAAAACTACATAAATATTTCAGACTGTTAGGCTTTTGGAGAACCATAGTTCTCATAATAAATGAGAGTTTTTGTTTGCTACCAAATTTGGTAGATGGTTGATTTTTGAAGTAATAATAAGCAAGTGGAATAACATTTTTTAAAATGTTGTTGCTTAAGTTTGGGACTACAAGTAATCTCTGAATTCTCAAGAGAGGTATTCATAAATTCAGATCATATTTGGCTTCCTGATACATTAAAAAAAAAAGTGGGTTTTTACTATCTCTGGTGTCAGAGAACTCTAAGGTCAATTGCTATTCCATATCAAAAGAACATTTCCTATATTCTTATAGTAGTAATGTGAGTGCTGTCAAAGTAAAGGCTTTGACAGATTTTTGCCCTGTTCTTCTTAGAATTCACACCCCAGTGACTCAGGATCTGTGGTGTGTAGTTGTAGTAGGGCAGCTGGCTGAATAAATGAGTAGTAAAAATGTTATTCCTCCATTCCTATGGTCCTCTGGGGACATTGTGCTCCTCCTGCCTCAGTAAGATGGTGGGTAAAAGCTAATTAGATTCAGATTTTCATTTTTTAAATATGAGAATACATTGTCTCCTTTTTTTAAAAAAAAAAATGAATTTCCAAAGATAGGGGCCAATCTTAGTTGGGCAAATGCCAGACTTATCTTGGAAAAAAAAACTTTTTGTATGTAAGATAACTAGAAACCTCTTCTAAATTTTTCTTACTTTTGTAATGGTTATAGAAGAAAAGGACAATCATAGAATGTATACCTCATGTGTTTTCTCCCTTAGAGAGAGAATGAAGAAATGCAGTATTTACTTGATTTCAAAGACATTGTTTTGTTGGGCTTCAGGCATATTTGGTTCTGAAAAGTAAAAGAATAAGACCCCTGTTGGAGCAGGAGTCCTGCTAGGCTTGTGGTCAGGTACAGAAGCAGTCTCCCCAGCAAGCTTAGACATCAGGCAGTACTGGTAACTTTATTCTAAAGGAAAACAAAACAAAAACAAAAAACAAGCTGGATACGGTGGTGCACACCGGTAATACCAACAGCTTGGGAGGTTGAGGCAGGACAATTGCAAGTTCAAGGCTAACTTTAGCAGCCTAGCAAGGTCCTAAGCAACTTGGAAAGACCCTGTTTCAAAATGAAAAGTGTTAGGGGTGTGGCTCATTGATTAAGCACCTTTGGGTTAAATTGTTGGTCCTAAAAACAAACAAAAAATTTATTACAAAGGGCTCAGATTCTCACAACCTCATTAGATTTGGAAAAAGCACAGCACCTTTCTCACATGTCTAATTGGTGCTTTTCTGACTTGTACAGGCATTGAGTGTAGTAGAAAAGAATATTGCTGGGCTGGGGATGTGGCTCAAGCGGTAGCGCACTCGACTGAAAAGAATATTGCTTATAGAAAGAGCATTGTACTGGAAATTCAAGTTGAAGGAATTTGGAGTCTAGTTCTGAGACAAACCAGCTGTGTGGCCTTGAGTAAATCATTTTGTTTCTGTAAGCCTCAGTTTCTCTAATTGAAATCGGCTTAGTTATTCTTTAAAGATACCCCCCAGCTCAAAAATTCTTATTTTATTTCTGACAGACATGTGTTTTTAATAGTTCATAAGTGAAAGGTATTTGTGCCAAATACTTAATAAGAAAATCATGTAGCTTTTCTCCAATGTTCTGCTTTGTTTTTTTGAATTCTATTCAAGGTTTTTTTTACTGGAATGGTAATGAAAATATTAAAACAAGCTTCTAACAGATATTTTCAAATGGAATAAAATGTTCACGAGTTCATCTTGGAAGGTTTAGACATATTTATATCTAGGGACTTTCAAGGACTTTGGTCAAGACCTCAAAAAATCATTGCCAAATATCTGTTTCTGTGACAACAGATGAGAAGGTTTAAACTCTTGATTATTTTCTTGATGTTGTAGAAAATCTAATAATACTATTTACCCCATTGATACTAACCAGCCCTAATTCCTAATGTACTTTTCTAATTCACAGTTTGGGGTGGGGGTCAGGGGTATAGAAGGGCTTTTGGAAGCCAGGATCACAAACTTTTCCCAGGATGTCTTGTCCAGTGTAGGCACTGAGATTTTTATTCTTAGTTTCTATACTTTTACTCTCACTTCTATGAAGTGATATGGCTATAAGAAAACACCCATGTGGATATTTTTAAGCCCTTTCTTTGGGACTGGCTGTAGATTGCAGAGAAAAATCTAATCTCCTGCCTGGGTGAGTAAAAGCTGTGTTGCCAATTCCTGATCTTTTCAGGGTTTCAACAGGACAAATTAGATTCTTTAGCTTTTTGTATGTCTGATTTACGATTCAGCTTTCTTGGATATACTAAAATCTGTATCACATCCTTCTGTTTTCTAGCTTTCAAAATTTTGTCATCATCTCTTCACAGGGTCTTTGTCCTTGTGGGTTTGTCTTTAAAAACAAAACAAAACAACTTTGCCATGGTTATGAGTTTTCAGAAGGGGTAGGAGTTAATTAGCCTATGTTTAATCTAATCACTAGAGTATTGGTTTCTCCTTTAGTTGGCTTTTCCTTTAGTGCAGTTCTTCCCTTTGCAGATTTTCATTGTTGTTTTTCGTTTCCTCCTCATGGAATATTTTGCCAAGAATGTTCTGTAGTGCAGGCTTTCTTGCTGTAAATTCTTTTAGCTTTTGCTTATCATGGAAGATTTTTATTTCATCATCAAATCTGAAGCTTAATTTTGCTGGAATAAGATTCTTGGTTGGCATCTTTTTTCTTTCAGAGCTTGGTATATGTTGTTCTAGGATCACCTGGTTTTGAGGGTCTGGATTGAAAAATCTGCTGAGATTCTAATTGGTCTTCCCTTATATGTAACCTGATTTCTCTGTCTTGTGGCCTTTAAAATTCTATCCTTATTCTGTATCCTAGGCATTTTCATTATAATGTGCCTTGGTGTAGATCTATTATAATTTTATACATTTGGTGTTTTATAGGCCTCTTGTATTTGATTTTCCAATTCATTCTTCATGCTTGGGAAATTTTCTGATGTTATTTCATTGAAGAGATTGTGCATTCCTTTGTTTTGAATCTCTGAGCCTTCCTCTATCCCAGTAAATCTTAGATTTTTTTTTTTTGATGTTATTCTATAATTCTTAGATGTTCTGTTCATGGTTTCTTACCAACTTCACTGTGAGGTCAACTTTCTTTTCAGGATTGTATATTTTGTCTTCATTGTCTGAGGTCTTGTCTTCCAAGTGATCTAGTCTGTTGGTGATGCTTTCTATTGAGGTTTTTGTTGTGGGGTTTTTGTTGTTGTTGTTATTGTTGTTGTTCTTTTCTTTTCTTTTTTTAGTGTAGTTGGACACATTTATTTATTTTTATGTGGTGTTGAGGATTGAACCCAGGGCCTCGAACACACTAAGCGAGCGCTATACTGCTGAGCCACAACCCCAGCCCCTCTATTGAGTTTTTTATTATTTCTTTCATT